CAGTGCTATGTAACAATTTGGGATTTGTTTTTATTGTCATGAGTAATACAAAGAGATCCTTGGAGGTCTTTGGACAAATGAAATGTAATTGAAAAACAGCAATCTAACCCTATCACACCACTCAAAAATCTTGTAAATAACCATGAAAAAGTAGGACCTAAAAATTTAGTTCTAGAAATATGATCCAAACTATCTACACATATTTTTAATTACTGCCAAAATGTTTAATTACTTATGCTTACTCCGTGTTCTATAACTATTCATATGAAAATGTTCTAGGATTCAGTTTTCAGATCCCCCTTGCGACAGATAAACAATATAATTGTACTGATTGTATGTGTGTGTACAGACCTATGATTTAACATTTTCTTTCCATGAAAACTTTCCAAGAATATACAATTCTTGGGAAAAAAGTCTCTTCAACAAATCGTGTTGGGAAAACTGGGCAGCTACATGCAAAGAATGAAACTGGACCACTTTCTTATACCATACACAAAAATAAACCTATGATTTAACATTTTCTTTCCATGAAAACTTTGTCATGTAATATAACTTTCTTTGGGATGACTATAAATGCTGAACTCTGAAAGTTAATGAGATAATAACATGACAATACTTTTAAAAGATTCAAGAATGCAACTCTTTTCCAAATGTTTTTCATAAAGAAAGAAAATATATTTTTTATATTTAGGATTAGAATTGATGTCATATAATAGCATTCTTTTTTATGTCAGTACTGTAATTTTTTAAAATTTTTAATTTGAGTATAGTTGACACACAATGTTACATTAGTTTCAGGTGTACAACACAGTGATCTGACAACTCTATACATTATGATATGCTCACAAGTGTAGCTATCATACAATGCTATTGCAACATCACTAACTATATTCCCTTTGCTGTGCCTCTTAGTCTCATGAGTTATTCATTCCATAAATGGAAGCCTGTATCTCCTATTCCCCTGCACCTATTTTGTCCATACCCCCACTCCCCCGACAGCCATCATTTTGTTCTCTGTAATCCTAGGTCTGATTTTGCCTTTTATTTTATTCATTTGTTTTTTTAGATTCCACTTATGAGTGAAATCATATGTATTAGTCTTTCTCAGTCTGATTTATTTCACTTAGCCCAATACCCTCTAGACCCATCCATGTTATTGCAAATGACAGGACCCGATTCTTTTCCATGGCCGTGTAATATTCCAGTGTGTGTGTGTGTGTGTGTGTGTGTGTGTGTGTATGCATGCACGTGTGCATCTCACATCTTTCCTTATCCATTCATTCATCAATGGACACTTAGGTTGGTTCAATATCTTGGTTATTGTAAGCAATGCGGCAATAAACATAGGGGTGTGTATGTCTTTTCAAATTAGTGTTTTTGTTTTCTTTGGGTATATGGTCACTGGTGGAATTATTGGGTCATATGGTGTTCCTATTTTTAATTTTTTGAGGAATCTCCATATTGTTTTCCACAGTGGCTGTGCCAATTTACATTCCCAAAAAACTACTAAAAGTAATGAATGAATTCAGTTAATTTTCAGGATACAAAATTAATATCCAGAAATTGATAACATTTCTTTTTTTAAAATTGATAGCATTTCTATACACCAATAACAAAGTAGCAGAAGGAGAAATTAAGAAAACTCAATTTATAATTGCACCAGAAAGAAAAAATACCTAGGAATAAACCCAACCAAAGCAGTGAAAGATCTGTACTCTGAAAACTAAAAAACATTGATGAAAGAAATTGAAAATGGCACAAATAAATGGAAAGGTATTCCATGCTTATGGACTGGAAAAAATAATAATTTTTAATGTTCATACTACTGAAAGCGATGTGTAAATTCAATGCAATCTCTATCAAAATACCAACAGCATTTTTCACAGAACTAAAACCAATAATCCTGGGGCACCTGAGTGGCTCAGCCATTAAGCATCTGCCTTCGGCTCAGGTCATGGTCCCAGGGTCCTGGGATAGAGCCCCACATCGGGCTCCCTGCTCGGCGGGAAGCCTGCTTCTCCCTCTCCCACTCCCCCTGCTTCTGTTCCCTCTCTCGCTATGTCTTTCTCTGCCAAATAAATAAAATCTTAAAAAACAAAAAAAACAAAAAAAAAATAATCCTAAAACTTGTATGGAACCACAAAGACCCCAAACGGCCAAAGCAATCTTGAAAAAGAACGAAACTGGAGGTATCATAATCTTAGATTTCAAAATATACTACAAAACTCTAGTTATCAAAAACAGTGCTGGCATAAAAAATAGACATATATCAGTGGAATAGAATGAAGAGCCCAGAAATAAACCCATGATTATATGGTCAATTATTCTTCTACAAAAGATGCAATGGGAAAAAAGATAGTCTCTTCAACAAATAGTGTTGGGAAAACTGGACAGCTACATGCAAAAGAATGAAACTGCACCATTTTCTTACACCACACATAAAAATAAATTCAAAATGGATTAAGGACCTAACTGTGAGACCTGAAACCATAAAACTAGAAGAGAGCACAGACAGTAATTTCTCTCACATCGTCCATAGCAACATTTTTCCTTGATATGTCTCCTGAGGCAAGGGAACCAAAAACAGAAATACACTATTGGGACTACATCAAAATAAAAAGCTTTGCATGGTGAAAGAAATCATCAACAAAACAAAAATGCAGTCTACTGAATGGGAGGAGATACTTACAAATGATATATCTGATAAGGGGTTAATATCCAATAATAAATAACTTATAAAACTCAACACCAAAAAAATTCAGTTAAAAATATTTAGGCAGTATTATCTCTGACATCAGCCATAGCAATATTTTTCTTGATATGTCTCCTGAGGCAAGGGAAACAAAAACAAAAATAAATTGTTGGGATTACATCAGAATCAAAAGCTTCTCTACAGCAAAGGAAACAACCAACAAAACTAAAAGACAACCTACTGATGAGAGAAGATATTTACAAATGACATGCAATAAGGGTTTGTATCCAAAATATATAAAGAACTTATATAACAACAACAAAACAACACAAATAACCCAATTAAAAAACAGGCAGAAGGCATGAACAGACAGTTCTTCAAAGAAGAAATACAGATGACCAATAGACACATGAAAAGATGCTCAACATCACTCATCAGGGAAATACAAATCAAAACCACAATGAGATATCATTTCACACCTGCCAGAAGGGCTAAAATAAAAAACTCAAGAAACAACAGGTGTTGGTGAGGATGTGGAGAAAGGGTAACCCTCATGCACAGCTGGTGGAAATGCAAACTGGTGCAGCCACTCTGGAAAACAGTATGGAGGTCCCTCAAAAAAATTAAAAATAGAACTACCCTATGATCAGGTAATCACACTACTAGGTATTTATCCAAAAAATACAAAAACACTAATTCAAAGGGATATATACACCCCTACGTTTATTGCAGCATTATTTACAATAGCAAACCATGGAAGCAGTCCAAGTGTCCATCATTAGATGAATGAATAAAGAAGATGTGGACAATGGACTATTAGTCATAAAAAAGAATGAATTCTTGACATTTGCAATGACATGGACGGAGCTGGAGTATAATGCTAAGCAAAATAAGCAAGTCAGAGAAAGACAAATTCCATATGATTTCCTTCATATGTGGAATTTAAGAAACAAAACAAAAGAACAAAGGAAAAAAAAAGAGAGAGAAAGAGAGACAAACCAAAAAACAAACTTACCTACACAGAACAAACTGATGGTCACCAGAGGGGAGATGGGTGGGGGATGGGGGAAATAGGTGAAGGGGATTAAGGAGTGCACTTGTCCTGATGAGCACTGAGTAATATATGGAACTGTTGAATCACTATCTTATATGCCTGAAACTAATAAAACACTGTATTTTAACAACCTGGAATTAAAATAAATAAAATAAAAAATAAATAAAATAAAATAAAATAGATATTTAGCATTCTTATCAGCATTTTGAATTTTGATGATTGTTATTCAAGAATACTGCTAAAAGAGCACATAATGATGATAGATTTATTAATGAATTAGGTATTACTTTATCCCAGTAATATGTTTTCAGGGTGATAGTCAATAATTATAGCCTGTTGTTCCCAGCATTGCTGAATTATTGGGTAATATATATTTTATATTTATAGCTTACATGCTGCAGTAGACTGAAAAACACTCCCCCCAAAGATGTCTACACCCTAATCCCCAGAACCTGCGACTGTGTCACCACACATGGTAAGAGGGTCTTGTAGATTTTATGAAATTAAGGATCTTGAGATGGGGACATTATCCTGCATTGTCCTGGATGGGCCTGATGAAATGAAAAGAGAAGCAGGGGTCAGAGATGAGCCGGCCATGTGATGGAGGAGGCAGAGCATAAAATAAGGAATGCCAGGAGCTTCTAGAAGCTGGAAGAGGCAAGGAACATATTCTCCCCTGGGGCCTCCAACAGGACCTCGCCTGGCTGACACTTTGGTCATAGACCCGACAACCTCATTTCAGACTTCTGATGTCCCCACTGTAAATGAATACATTTGTGTTGTTTTATGCCACTGAGTTTGTGGTCTTTTTATAGTGGAAAGAGGAAACTCACAAGCATGCTAAACTGTATTCATATGATTGACGAGATGAAACTCCAAAATATTAAAAATAGTAAGAATAATGCATAATCCGGCTCTCTCCTAAAGAGTTGTGGAAAACCATTAGGCATTGATTGGAGACTTTCAGTTACATATCTCCTACACAAACAACTTCATCAGAGCTTTTGAGGACTATTATCAGAAGCAAACGGAATAGCTTCCTCTAGAAAAGCAATCCATTGAAATTACCTTCTGAGGATTTTAGAGATGAATCGTTTTAGAGGATCACTTTTATTCATCAATCACTTTTTTCCCTTCAATATTTGAAGGAGTTATAAAGTATGCAATTCATGAAATCTGGTGTAAACCAAAGAACATGCTTAACCTGCATGTACATCTGTGGACTTGAACTGGTGCCTTAAAGGTGTAAAAAACCCTCGAAAGTGTTTACAGTTGGAAGCATGAAGACTGCACAGTTAGGAAGCATCTGATCGTGGTTAGACCTCATTGCGTTTTCTCCTCTGAAGGAGGTAGTGTATTTGTAACGCACTACATTACTGTGCGGCCCAGCGTGGCTCCACCCTCGGTCAATAATGCTTACACAGGCGTGCAAGCTCGCCATTGTCCTAAGATCATGGCTCTCAAGCCTGTAACCTGAAACAAAATCATGAGGCTCCTTTTGGCTTGAGGAATATTACTTTTTGTCCTTGTAACAAGTACAAGATCAATTTCAAGGAGGCTTTTTTTTTTTTAAAACACAATGTTCACTTTTTGCTTTGAGTTCCAGCTGTGAGTGGAATTAACTTCAAAATAAAGAAAATGGGCTCTGCAGCTGGGGGAGAGAGTTTGGGGCCTACTTGAATCAGACACAGTTGGTGGAGGGAGGAAATATCATGAATACCCTTCCACTACTTTTCTGTCACTGTGGGAGGCCTTTGTGGAAGGAATCCAACATTATTCTGCCTTCCCATCTTCTGACTGAATGGATGGGTAGTAGAGCTTATGAAAACCCGGTCTGGGGAAAGTGCCCACTTCGGTCACCATTTTTCTGTTTAAGATGGGAATAGTCTTTCACCAAAGTGCAAGAACAGGATTACACACCTAATATCATCGCTTCTCTTGAATTCAAAGCATGAATGACAGAGTCATGTGTAATGCCTTTTCCAGTAAACCTCCTTCACTGAGTTTCAACCTGTGGCATGCAATTATTTAAAAAATAGTATCTTCATGCATCTAGATATTTTGAGTACCATACACTCACTGAGTACACTTAGTGTGAGAAAACTTAATTTTTGGTCCCAGTAAGAGGATAATTTATTTGTGATACCTCCAGGTGTAGTGTATCATGTTCCTGCGCTTCTTTTAAAAAGTAAACAACTTAACTCTGTTTGTTTTAAAGATACTTGAAATGAGAAAAAAGACAGAAGCACAATTCATTTTTGTAGTGCATTTATCCTTAGGTGCATTCATTCATCACATTTTTATTGAGTACCTGCTATGGACCGGGCATTACCCCAAACAAAGGAAGGAGAAATGAAACAAAACATCAGTCTCGGTGCTCATAGAACTTTCATTTTTGTGGGAGGAAATGAGCAGTAAACTAGGAAACTGATGTGATGATTATCTCAGAAAGTCTATGCCAGGTAAGGAAAATAAAACAGGGTAATATGTTTGGAGATTGCAGATGGTAGGGAAGGAGAGGTTGGTCATAGAGACCTGTAGGCCTGTCAGGCAGAAAGGAACAGCAAACACTGGTCCTGGAGGCTTCTGTGTATGAAAATCTTGGTGGACAAGAGGTTACATGGAAAGGTGGAAGGAAGGAAAGATCAGCAGGAAGGAAAGATCAGCAAGGGCTGGATCAAGTAGAGCCTTAGAAAGTGTAGAGTTTTTCTGTTTCTCCCGGGCAGATATTATAGGTAGCACATCTGCTCTCTGCTACACATTTTTAACCATCGTTTGGGCTGATTAGAATATCATGGAGTTGTGGCAATTTGTTTCCTTCCTTCCTGGAGAGGTTCCTGAACCTACAGCCACCACTGTTGCTGATGCTCACCTAGCTTTGAAGTTCTCTCCATCACACCCTCACACCAGCTTAAAAAGAAGGACTTGTTTATTTTCTCTCAGGTCTCAAACAATAGCTTAGTGTTCTCCAAGCTACAGAAGGATGCTTTCAAATCTACTTGCCTAATTTTTCAAAGTGTTCTCTTTTGACCACGGTATGAATATATTGAACATTCTACAGCAGAGAAAAAGAAGAGCTGAGGTGAGCTCTCCATATTTACCTCTTTCTTTTTCAACTTGCCGAGTTTTCTCCCCTTCACCTGATGTTTCGGGCATACCTTGATGGTGAATTCCCAGCCTTTAACATATTCCCCCCAGGGCATTAGTCCATTTGCTCCGTTGTGGGTTGCATATGAATATACCACAGTTTTCAACATCCAGCTGTACTAAATCTTGTTTGTGCTCCATTAATGAAATCATCTATTTTATCTCATCACTGCAGGTAAAAACTGTTTTCCATATGCTATACTCCCTTATCATGACTTCTAAAATGCTGTGATGGTTACATTCTATCTAGTTTACATTTAGAAAGCAGAATGTCAGCTTACTAGAAAAGAATTCTAAAAAATGTGTAGAGCTATTCGCCAGCCCGCCTTAGCTGCCACTGAATGAATAATTCCGTGAGGAAGAGCGGGACCGTGAAGGCAGCCACAGAATCTACTGTTTTCATAGAACTTGATAAATTAATTAGTTCATCTTGTGATTATGTGATTCTGTTAGAAAGAACAAAGTATTGCTAAGATAGCTTGGGAAAGATAAGAACATACTGAATTTCCTTTTATTCATTTCTTTAAAATTCTGGGCAGAAATTAAATATCTTAAAAACGGGGAAGCTACTAATATTGCATAGTAAACACCCTAACTGCGTAAGTTAAAATCTCAGAAAAGACATCGAGTGCAGAGTGATCAAATAATAGATCAATTACACCTAGTGAAATGAAAATACATCTGTAATGAGTTGATATTGTGTGCCAAAATGTGCATCAGCCAATTGAACTTTTCAATTTACAATTAATTGTAATATTCTATGGTCATAACCAGAGACAGGAGAACATCGGAGAAAAGTATCTTGAAAATGGAGACACAAACAAAGAGATATACTATATTTATATATCTATGCATACACATGCATACGTGTACATACATATGCATGGAGTATATGACATATATCGTTTGTTGAATGAGTATTCATTTATAACTTACTGTATGCCTGCGGCTGCCCATATTTATATGGAAGGTTATTTATTCAAGGAACATGATTCCTTCCCAAATAAATTTGATATAAATTCCAATGTTTCCATCACATCATCAGAAGAATCACATTGTAATCCTCCTACTGATAATCTTTCATAGACTCGGAGTCTGTTTTATCTGTGATGATGGCTTTAGGAGTCACTGTTTATGGAAAGATGCAAACAATTTCAAAATATAGAAAAACAATATTAAGGAAGGTAAATGTCTTATTTTATACTAGGAGTGTTTGCTTTTGTTTTTTTAATATCTAGTCGGAAATATAACAAGTTACTTTTAAAAGGTAATAAAGTTGTGGTAGCGCAGAAACATGAGAGAAATAGAAGTATTATGAGAGAATGGCAAAAAGTTTGGTGGGGAAAAAAAAAAAAGAAGAAGAAGATCCCAACCAGCAGAAACCCTCAGCACATTTGGCAGAACTTAGTGCTGGCTGACTTCCTAAGGCACAGAAACTTTGCAAATCTCCATTTGAGATTTTTGTCTCCTTCCATCTCTACACAAGTGTCCAACTGGGCTTTCAGAGCAAATCTCAAGTCAAGGATTCCCATCTGATCTGATTAGCTTACAAACCCAAGGGCACTCATAGTTTCCACTAGTGTGTGAATGGCATGAGCCTCATGGTCCATTTCAAAGTAGACCCTGAGATTTGGAGTTCATAAAACTTGTAAGAAAGTATATCATCAATCTGCATTAGAGTAGACTCGATGCACTGGAAAGAGTGAGCTGACGGCTTGGGAGCTGCTGTGCAAAGCTGTCTCCAAATGCATGAAGAATGAGATGTGGAAAGAGGACAAGATGCGTTCCCTGCAGCTGGAGGGTTCAAAATCGAACCAAGGGTAGAGTGACAGGAGCATGGAGTTTGACTCCATATGGGGAGGTGCTGTGCAGTCCTGAGAGGACTCTAGGAATGGATTTGCTGACTATGGGGGACACTGAGTCCAGGGGAAGAATTCAACCAGGGTCGTAATGACCCTCCAACGAGCTATCACAAAACAGATCACTGCAATCAAGTGGAGGATAGGATGTTTACTTCGAGCAGGGTAACCTACCAAACCCAAGATTCTATGACGACAGACAGATTCATTTCACTATTACTGCTTTTTTTCAAAATCTGAACATCTTTGAGCAGATAGAAAATATCAAATTTAACTTTTGATATAGGATCTTTGTTGTAATAAATATTAGTATTAAAATATACAACAAATATTATCAATTAAAAATGTTATTAGATCGGGTGCCTGTGGGGTTCAGTCGGTTAAGCATCTGCCTTTAGCTGAGGTCATGATGCCAGGGTCCTGGGATGAAGCCACGCATCGGGCTCCCTGCTCAGTGGGGAGCCTGCTTCTCCCTCTTGCTCTCTCTCTCTCAAATAAAAAAATAAAATCTTTTTAAAAATGTTATTAGATAATCAAGATATGGAAAGAAAAAGCCAATATAATGACATTCTGTGGGAGTGACTTGAATGAACTAGTTTGAGAAGAAAAAAATATGCTTTTCTCACACTGTATTAAAATGCCTGGTAGAATTCATTCAGTATGTAGTGGAAAGATCAGGAAGCATTTCAGGCTTTATAATTGCCCACACATGGTCAAATTTTGGCTAGCCTGATAGCTAAAAATTCACTAGCGGGCTGTTTGAATGAAGCTTGGTTTTTGGTCTCCAGACACTGGCTCGAAATGTTCTTCCATGACAGTTTCCCTCCTTGTTAAATCTTGTTATTGCTCACAATGTATGAAACTCCCATTTAAACAATATTCAGTGAAGCAAATACTCGTAAACAAATTCCATGAAGTTAAAATTCATACGATTATGTTCTTTTTCAATCTACCCTTAAACCATCATTGTTCAATCAGGACATTTTAACAGGGATTCAGGACAATTTAAACCTATAGGCCAGGTACTCTTTCCTCAAACACATTAGAAGAGAGGGAATGAAGTATTATATGCTTTCCAGCTATTTTTTTTTTCATTTTTACTGAATTTTGATTAAAGAATTCTATTTCTAAAGAGTAAAATAGCACATTTTCATTAAAATATTTGAATTTCTTAAGATACATCTTACACTATCTAATGAGTTCTTTTGGTTTTTGCCATTGGATATATAGATGCTATTTGCATTTCTTGTAGGAAGATGCTTTGTTTTTGGCTAAATTTAGACAACAGTTATTAAACAAATTCATTTCTAACAAACCATCTAGTCAATTAAAATGTTTAATTCCATGTAGATAAAGAGTAAGTCTAAGGACACGTGACCAAATACTTCACCTCTTTTTATTTTTATAAACATTATGAGGGCCTATCCCTGGTTAC